GAACTTCAACACCTCACCTTCTCCATTAGATAGGTCAAAAGGGCAGAGAGTTAACAGAGAGACATCTGAATTAAACAACACCACATGTCAAATGGATTTAACAGACATGTACTGAGTATTCCACCCACACACCAAAGAACATACTTTCTACTCAGCACCCCATGGAACCTTCTCCAAAATCGGCCATATACTGGGGCACAAAACAAACCTCAACAAATACAAAAAGACTGAAATAATTCCATGCATTCTACCAGACCACAATGCAATGAAGCTTACAATCAACACCAGAAGAAGCCCTAATCACCACATGAACACATGGAGATTAAACAACACACTCCTAAATGATGAATGGGTCAAAAGAGAATTTAAGAAAGAAATAAAAATATTCCTGGAACTAAATGAAAAGGGCAATACAACACAGAAAAACCTCTAGGACAAGATGAAAGCTGTCCTTAGAGGGAAGTTTATAACTCTAAGTGCCTACATCAAAAAATCGGAAAGAACATAAATAAATGACTTAACAATGCAACTCAAGACACTTGAAAAGCAACAACAAATGAAACCCAAACCCAGGAGACAAGAAGAAATAACAAAAATTAGGGCAGAAATTAATGAAATTGAAACAAAGAAAACAATACAAAGAATCAACGAATCCAAGAGCTGGTTCTTTGAAAAGATAAACAAGATAGACTGCTAGCACAATTAATCAAAAGAAAGAAAGAGCACCTCCAAATCAACAAAATCAGAGGTGAATGGGGAAACATCACAACAGACACAAGAAAGACACAAAATATTAAAAGGGAATACTTTAAAAACCTATATGCTATTAAATTTGAAAACCTAAAAGAAATGGACAGATATCTAAAGGCATGGAAACCCCCAAAACTAAACCAAGAAGAGATTAACAGCTTAAACAGACCCATAACACAAAAAGAAATTGAAACAGTAACACAAAACCTCTGGACTGAAGAAAGCCCAGGACCAGATGGATTTACAACAGAATTCTATCAGACATTTCAAGAAGATCTACATCCAATACTACTTAATTTATTCAAAAAGATAGAAATGGAGGGAGAACTTCCAAATTCCTTCTATGAAGCCAGCATCACTCTAATACCATAGCCAGGTAAAGATACAACCAAAAAAAAGAAAACTATAGACCCATATCCTTAATGAACATAGATGCAAAAATTCTCAATAAAATACTTGCAAACCGCATACAGACACACATCAAAAGGATCATCCACCATGATCAAGCTGGCTTTTTGTCTTTATCCCAGAGATGCAGGGATGATTCAATATACGTAAGTCAATAAATGTCACAAATCATATAAATGGGCTCAAAGACAAGAACCACATGGTCATCTCAATAGATGCAGAGAAGGCCTTTGACAAAATTCAACATGCATTTATGTTCAAAGTCCTACAGGGAATGGGACTGGAGGGAACATAGCTCAATTTAATTAACGCCATATATAACAAATCCACAGCCAACGTCATTCTAAATGGAGAAAAACTGGAAGCATTCCCATTGAAATCAGGAACCAGACAAGGCTGTCCACTATCTCAAGTTCTCTTTAGCATAGTGCTTGAAACTCTTGCAAGAGCAATAAGACAAGAGCAGAAAATTAAAGGAGTAATAATTGGAAGAAGTCAAATTATCCCTTTTTGCAGATGGTATGATTTTATATCTAAGAGACGCCAAAAATTCCACCAGAAAACTCCTAGAAATTATTACCACATTCAGTAAAATGGCAAGTTACAAAATTAACCTACAAAAGTCTGTAGAATTTCTATATACCAATAACAAGCAATCAGAGAAAGAGCATATGGAAATATTCCCCTTCACAATAGCTGATATATAACTTGGAATAAACCTGGCCAAAGACATTAAAGACCTCTACAGTGAAAATTTTAAATCTTTAAAGAAAGAGGTTGAGGAAGACATCAAAAGATGGAAGGACCTCCCATGCTCATGGATTGAAAGAATATTGTGAAAATGACCATCCTACCAAAAGCCATTTATAGATTCAGGGCAATGCCAATCAAAATCCCCAGGACATTTTTCACAGAATTGGAATAAAACCTCCTAAGATTCAGATGGAAGCACAAAAGACCTTGGATAGCCAAAGCAACCCTGAGCACTAAGAGCAATGCAGGGGGATTACTATACCAGATTTTAAGCTGTATTACAGAGCTATAATCATAAAAACAACATGGTCCTGGCACAAAAATAGACCCGTAGATCAATGGAACAAAATTGAAGACCTGAAAATGAGTAAATGCAATTTCAGCCACCTGATATTTGATAAAGGGGCCAAGAATATTCACTGGAGGAAAGACAGCATGTTCAGCAATGGTGCTGGCAAAACTGGATCTCCACGTGTAGAAGAATAAACTAAACCCCTATCTTTCATATTGCACAAAAGTCAATTCCAAATGGATCAAAAACCTCAATGTAAAGTCTGAATCTCTGAAACTGCTAG